TTCAGCTTGATCGTTTTGTTAGACCTTTCACCATGGCTCCTTACAATGTCCGATGGGGAATAATGGGTAAGAAACATTACAATCCCATGCGTTTCTCTCTCCACGCCCACCCCGCCCTGATTCGAGTCATCCTGTACAAACTCAATTGTAATGGTACCAGACTGACATGTGATAAAATTATTCGAAACTCCGCTTAGCCACCGGCTGGATTGCCGACGGTATGTTTCCCTCCATAGAATCCGACGTGTGTGAAGGATCTCGTACACGGGCTTCGTTAGTCTGACCAGCAAATAGTCTTCGTTCGAGATCTTCTCCGAGATCCTCTTGAGCGTGGCGCATCTGACGTCTCCCACAGCATTGTGGCAGTAGCATCATCATCATCGCAAGCTCGATCTGAGAAGTTCATCTCTGACACGGGCATCCCCGCCCCCTGTGCAGCCTACAGCTCCTATGAGCAGCTCGTGGCCGATGCCAACGTGGACGTAGTCTACGTCGCAACTCCCCACTCCCACCACTTCCAAAACGTCATGCTAGCCCTGGAGGCGGGGAAGAACGTTCTTTGCGAAAAGGCCTTCACGGTCAATGCGGCCCAGGCGAAGATCCTGTGTGAGACAGCCAGGAAGAAGAACCTGTTCCTTATGGAGGCCGTTTGGACGCGATACTTCCCGCTCAGCGTGCAGGTCCGAGACTTAATCAAGCAGGGGGCCATTGGCGAGGTCCTCCGTGTGACGGCTGACAATAGCTTCGGCGACCCTGTTGAAGAACGCTGGGGAACGGAACATCGAATGGTCAACAAGGATTTGGCCGGTGGATGTTTATTGGACTGTTAGACTCTCTTACCTACCTTCTTACCTGAGCCGTGCCCAGTGCTCCGAAAAGGCCAAAGCTGACCAAAAAAATGCTGCAGTGGGTATCTACTCCTTGACCTGGGTTTTCCAGACCCTGTATCACACCCTTCCCCGGGATCAGCGCAAACCACCTTCAGCCATCTCAGCTCACATGGCGCTCTACCACTTAACTGGAGCGGACGAAGCGACCACTATCCTCCTCAGCTTTCCCACCAGTACGCCGTCCAATCTGCCTCACCCAGGCCAATCCCACGCCGTGGCCATGACCAATCTACGTGTCGCTACCGACCCCGACGAGGCCAACACTGCCCGTCCAGCCATTCGCATCCAGGGCACCAAGGGTGAGATCCAGGTGGACGGACCAGCGTTCCGACCGGAGCGGTACCGCATCATTCCCAAGAAAGGGGAAGGTGAATTCAAGGAGGTCGAGTGCCCGTTTCCTGGCGACGGAAAGGGCATGTTCTGGGAAGCAGATGAGGTGGCGCGGTGCTTGCGGGATGGAAGCTTAGAAAGCGAAACCCTGCCATGGGAGGAGAGTATCGTCATCATGGAAGTGATGGATGAGGTTCGGCGTCAGGGCGGGCTGACTTATCCGGAGAAGATCGAGTCGACGGTTTACCCCACGCAACTGTAGTATTCACGCGGGACAGGTTTGGATGGACCGAGGCTTACAAATGCAAGGCCAAATGACAATTTCTAGTCCGAAGCACGCTGCCATTCAAAGAAGTAGTACTGTACATAGCAAATCCCTCCCGGAAGGTATTCATCTATATATGAAACCTAAGACACATTACATTTTTTCATGCCCATTACCTCATTCGATCGCCGCAGCCTTCTCTGCAGTGTTGATCCGTGACCGGCGGAAAAAACTTGGGATCAGATCTCGCCTGAACAATCGTTCCCTCGCCTTTTAATCCGTCCCGCGAGGGCAAGAAGGTATCAGGATTATAGGTAAGAGGAGACAATGACTCGGATCCCTCCTTGGTGGGAATTGCAGCAACTAACTGCTTAGGGCTTCTGGAAAACCCCCAAGAGCGATTTCCACACCTGGCCAGGCTCTTGGCTGGCGTCGATACCACGCCAGATACCGGTCTTCTTGTAGTAATCGACCACGGGAGCCGTTTGGGCGTGGTAGGTGCCGAGACGCTTCTTGAGAGTGTCGGCGTTATCGTCGGAACGCTGGATCAAAGGCTCGCCGGTAATATCATCCTTCATCTCCTCCTTAGGAGGGTTGAAAATCTTGTGATAAGAGCGTCCGGAGGCCGGGTGGACCAGACGCCCGGTGATACGAGCAACCAGCAGAGCATCGTCAATCTGCAGCTCAACGGCATGCTGGAGCTTCTGCTGGCGCTCAGCCAACATGTCGTCCAGGCGCTCGGCCTGCGCAACAGTGCGCGGGAATCCATCGAGGATGAAACTAGAAACCGCACATTGTCAGCTCAAACTCTTGTGCATTGTGGCTCAAGGATATCAGGAACAGAGGTGGGTGGAGGGGGGACAGACCCGTTCTTGCACTCGCTGTTGTTCTCAAGCTCACTCTTGATCATGTTGACCATGATCTCGTCACTGACCAGACCTCCCTGGTCCATGATCTTCTTGGCCTCTCTTCCCAGATCAGTCTTCTTGGCAACCTGAGACCGCAGCATATCACCGGTAGCCTAATCGCACACGCACAGTCAGAACCAAGTATCAGTGAATCCAGACTCTATCCACCAGAGCATAAACTCACCAAGTGGCAGACGCAGTACTTCTCCTTGAGCCGGGGGGCCTGGGTACCCTTGCCTGAACACAGCGATCGGTCAGAATTCCGCACCAAGAACAAGGGGAGGGACAGGAATGGCAAGATAATAGGCATTATCCAAGCGTACCAGCACCGGGAGGTCCCATTAAGATGATGCGCATATGCTCGGTAACAGACTTGGGCTTGACTTCACTGGTAAGGCGACCCTCCAGGTCCTCAATACGAGCCTCAAGCTTTCCGATGGTGTCCTTGAGACCATGGATGATCTCTTCCGTGATGGGAGCCATTGCGATTGTCAAATATGGTGAGGAAGTGTTGTGGAATTGACACTACCAAAGGTAGCCGGGAAAAGAGACAAGCGGAGTGAACAAAGGGGGGCAAGGGAAGAGAAGGAGGATGAGGGCGCGCAAAAGCAACGGGGAAAGGGAAGCGGATAGAAAGTTGACTTCGTTTTGGGGGGGGGGGGTCAAGTGGTTGAAAAGAGGCCGCCGACCGGAGTGCCGGGGTGGAGTCGCGGCGCGCCCACCCGAGGCTGCGGCGCCGCGCGGAGCAATAATCAACTATTTGTAAAGAAGTTCAGTAATGCAGTATGCAATTGCGATTGCCGTGACCATGGCGAAGCAAGGGACCTATATTCTAGGCGAGATTTGCTCATCTAAACTATTTATCTAACATGTGCGACAATTGCTAGTAGTTGCAGAGTGCAGACAGACGCATTTCGGACGGATGGACAGCGAGACCGCCTGTAGTGCCTTGGGGCCTGAGGCATGACATGCAGTGTGGCTGATGCATCAACCAACTGTTCAGCCACACAACACCCGGAAGCTCCCCCGAACTGCCACAGCTATTCCATCGTCATCTCTCCCTCTCTCTCTCTCTCTCTCTCTATCTCTCCCTCTCCCTCTCTTCGGACTTCCTGTCACTTACTTCCCATTCTCATCTCATCCGTGCTAAGGCTCTCTCTCCATCCTTTGACAAGCCTAGTCGTCGCTATACTTGTTACTTCTCACTTAGCTCAGTGATACCGCTCTGCGTCCTTGTTTCCCGCCATGCCTGCCACCACGGCGGACACACTTTCCCTTGTCCAGCGAACTGTCACCGTTGCCCCATTAGTCCTTCTTTCCGTCGCAGATCACTATGGTCGCTCAGCTAAAGGCACTCGGAAACGAGTGGTGGGTGTGCTGCTAGGAGAGAACTCGGGCCAGACTGTCCGCGTATCAAACAGTTTTGCCGGTAAGCTCATCTGCTGGTAGAGCGTCTCACACTTCCACCGAAATGAACTGACCGTTCTTGGTGACTAGTCCCCTTCGAGGAGGATGAGAAGGATCCATCTGTGTGGTTTCTCGACCACAACTTTGTCGAGTCGATGAGGGACATGTTCAAGAAGATCAACGCGCGGGAGAAGCTGGTCGGCTGGTATCACTCAGGCCCAAAGCTGCGCGCCTCAGATCTGGAGATCAACGAGCTCTTCAAACGATACACACCCAACCCCTTGCTAGTAATTGTGGACGTTCAGCCGAAAGAAGTAGGCGTTCCGACCGACGCTTACTTTGCCGTTGACGAAATCAAAGACGTAGGTTTCCAAGCGATTCAGTTCTCGGACCCTATATCCGCCTTGGTCTCGCTAACTAATTCGGGGTGATCCACTACAGGATGGCACCACGACGTCCAGAACCTTTGTCCACACACCGTCTATAATTGAAGCAGAGGAGGCCGAGGAGATTGGAGTGGAGCACCTACTCCGTGACATCAGGGATGTCGCTGTGGGAACACTTTCTACCCGGATAACATCCCAGCTGCAATCGCTGCAGGGCCTGCATCTGCGTCTGCGTGACATCGGCCAATATCTGCAGAAAGTTCTCGACCAAGAATTGCCCGTCAATCATGCCATCTTGGGCAACCTCCAAGATGTGTTCAACCTTCTTCCTAATTTATCCACCCCTGCTGCAACGCCTCGCATCAGCGGTGGTGCCCCAGAGCATCAGACGGATAATAGCGAATTGGCACGTGCCATGAGCATCAAGACGAACGATCAATTGATGGCGATCTACTTGAGTAGCTTGATTCGCGCCATCACTGCCTTCCACGACCTGATTGAGAATAAGATTCAGAATCGGCAGCAGCAAGAAGAGAACGAGCTGAAGAGGGAGCAGGACGCCATTGCGGCCAAGGACGACAAGGACACGTCTAAGAAGACCAATGGCGTCGTCAATGGAGAGCAGAAGGAGGATCAAGAAGTAGTGAAGGATAAGTCCAAGAAAAAGAGTTCAAGAGGGGAATAGAAGGGCCTGGAGTCAACGCGATACGATCAATTTTCAAGGACCAATTCATTTATTACACGAGATTGTACATTAGGGTAACCTCGGACACGGCTGATCATGACCATACGGGGTTGTCTTCGGAGACATCGATCGTGCTGAGTATTCAGTTGTACCGTAGGCTGTTAACACCGCACCCTGATCTTGTAGTGAGGCAATCAACTCCCTGGAGGTGACCACGCTGGAGCCCCCTCTGACTCGTGGCACAAATATGACACGGGCTTCAGCCGCCCCAGCCGGCACACCAGCCCGCCAACTCCTCCGCGCTGACACAGACGAAGCCGTCATTCCCCTTACCCAACAGACTGGGACAGCGAACAGCCAGCCAACTCGCAAGGAGGTGCTTGCAAACGGGGGGTGAAGACCGGACCGATCCGCGTGCCAACATACCCCCGAATGGGTAAGAACCATGGGAGATTGCATAATCCCGGCGTGGCGATAACTCGATAGCAGAAGCAGTAGCAACAGTGGATAAGGAGGTCATCTCAGGTGCGGGTGACAATGGCCCACGAAATGAAGCCAATGTGAAGGTAGGGCATGTGCAACTCCAGGCTTGCAGGCGGACTTCGTACGCTTTTGTCTCGCTATCTGTCTTGTAGGGGTGATATCGCGAAGACGGTTGCGTCGTGAGAACCCCGGAGGTTGAACTCACCAGAAATACATCCTCCATCGATCTTACCGACGAGGCCTGGGTCGTGGGGCGATTCGTCGCGTCGTGAGTCGATACTAAACGTCTTACCAACCCTCGATCAAGGATATCCAAAGCGAGCAGGAGTTCATTAGGGAAAAGACAATGGAGAGCTAGCATCAGAGACTTTACACCGGCGATCTGGGTCGCATGCAGCGCAGAGAAACCACGGGACGGGCTTTCTCCGCAGGCTGGATATTGTTCTTGTTGTTGTTCGTGTTGCTGGCCATCGCTCGAAGTATTGACCTTGAAGACTGAAATGCCAGAAGCCACCTGGTCCACAAAGTCAGCAGGAGTGAAGAAATCGCTTTGGTGTTTGTCTTCGTGAATATCCATTGGGTTGGCGGTTCAAAGAAGAAAAATTCGAAGTTGTTGCAACGGACAGGATATGTATTCGGATTAACCGGTAAGTATTAACCCCTGGGCAAAGCTTCCCGATTTCTCCTTCCTGCCCGTCTACAACCGATGCACACCCCAATAGACAATTATATACATGGCTATAGACTTCATATGGACATGAGCGCTCTATCAATCTTGAACTCGACGGAGACAATAAAGCCAGAATAATCCCACCATGGAGCACAAAAAACATATCGGTCGTATACTATATGGCAGCAGATTACCACAATCTAAATACAACCCCAGCAATAGGCATAAGGTGTCAACCAGCCACTCCGCGGCTTTGCTGCAGACGCTTTGCGGCGGGTCGTGTGAAGGGTGGAGGACCTGGGGGAATCTTGGGCTTAGGCAACTTTCTCTTGAGGACACCCCGAGGTCTGGCTGTCTTACTTACCGGTTGCGCGGGAATGATATTCGGCTGGAGGGGAATGATCCCTTGGCCTTCAAGGACTTCGCCTGTTGTGGACGTGAGCCTAATTCGTACCTGTGCCCGCTGCACTCTGGCTCTGGCTGACTTCAACTTGATCAAAGCTCCATTATCACCAGGAGGTGGCAGCTGTTGCTTGAAAGTCCATCGAACGGCTCTTCCCTCGAACTTGATCATCTCGTCCAATGTGACCTCACTGGGAGATTGTTCAATGAACTGGCCCTCCTCTTCAAAATCTGGTATAATTGGCGGTACTGATCGCACTGGCAAAGGTTGTGTCCGGCGATAAGCTAGCACGTATACATCCTTGCGGTTCTTCTCGTGAGACCTGAGTGCTGCAAGTGTTTTGGCGGATACTATGCCGTCGCTGAAACAAGCCCAGTCACCATACGGGCCCTGTGCGAAGCAACTATAATGGCCGTGGTCGATGTTTCTACCCAGATGATTGACAAACGCAAAAAGCTGATATTGTATCATCTCAGGTGGAAAGGTCAAGGTCTCTTCGATGCAGACATAGTCTTGATTCTTCTGTTTATCATGCTGGAACCGGTTGATTTGAACGAAGATAACTTCCGGGTAAAGAACAATATCTTGACTGATTTCGTGCTTAGTTCTAGAACCACCACAGCCGCGACAAGCCACTTGCAAAGATGTCGGACGCAGGTTGTTCTCTATTGTCTTGTGTAGCCCATGAGAGCCCGGGCAAAGGTCTTCTGGAAAACTCGCAATAAGCCACCAGTTCATACTCGCTGGTAGAGTCTTCCGCTGCCCGCACTGGGAACATTGACCTTCTCGGGCGACAATGCTTTGGAACATGCTCTCAAGATCGCTTCAACGAAGTCAGCTTCTGGCATGTCTGGGGGTCAATGAGAACATACGCTCTTGATTTCTCCGTACTATCGGCGTACAGCCGCGCAATTAAGGCGTCTAGAAACTCACATATATCATGCTGTTCTCGAATATCCCGCCCTTTCCAAGCAGCTTTTTGGATATGCAGCCAGAGAACCCCAAGACATGATTCAAGATCGCGTGGAGATTCGAGCCAATAGACTTCATATAGACGGCACAATTGACATCCTAAACAACCGTTCGAAAAGCCGCAATTCTCGAGGTCGTGACTTGGTTGATAGGAACACCTGAGCCAATTCCATAAATCGGGCATATGCAACAGAAATATGAGTGCCGCATTCCGGTAGCATAGATTTCTTGGGTTTTCAAAGCCTCTGGGACTTCTATAAGTCTCGCTAGGCCACGCTGATCTGAGTTGGCTTCCCTAAACGCAGAGTGAGCCCACTTTGAACGGTCAAAGCATTTATTTCACCAACGACGCACCATGTTGTTGTATATATCAGCTGAATCACTCATCTCCAGTGCACCTCCTGTCGGGGCTTACTATGTTACCTACTACAGTAGGCCTAAGTACGATCAGATTCTGAGTAATAAGTGCTTGAGTGTGTATAAGTTGGGTCCAGGTGATAGTATATTATCTTAGTCGCCATGCAGATACCGTGCCAGTCCTTGTATATATTATTGAATTTATCGCTAAAGTAGTCCTATAAGAGAACAACAGATAGTACATACCTCCCTTACAACTCAGGGTGATCCTTCTTTTGTTTATAGAAGACCTTTGTATATAGACATATGTCATGTTGTTTGGTACATGAATGATAAAGAGGTTACTGGAGGGTGAATAATGGTTGTTAGATATCTTGCTCTTTATTAGCATTGCTGTCAAATGTTATGTGGTATTAGCAAGATCCATTGGTAGAAGATGTTTGTATATATTCCTCTAACATTGATCTCTTTATGTAGATTTCTTTCACACATAGCTTGGTAGAACATAGCACTTCAAACGCTTCTATGTCAGTCATGATTATTTACAATTTGTCCTTGGGATTAGAACAAGTAATGAATCGTTCTATGCCAATTACGTTGGAAATATTCTAGGATTGATTTGATTATATGAAGAGATACTGTATGAGACCTCTACATCAAGTTATCGGGAAAACATGTAGCTGGTCATGACTAGTTCTCGATGTGTACCGTGTTCATTCCACAGACCGTCTTAATCAGGATGGAAACATATGTTTGATGTTTTGTAACCACCCACCTATAGGTGGTATGTATGTCAGTCGGGCTATCCCTAGACTCTTCAAGTAAGCCTCGCATGACAACACCTCCCTATACGTTGTCTTACCAGTCAAACTTTCAGACACTAGAACCACACTCTCCATCTGATAAATGCCAGTTCAGGAGGCGATATCGCTAGTACTGATATATTGTCTCTTTGTACGTAGCATGGAGGTGCTTTATTCCTTTTGCTCATCACTCTTTATTGACTTTTAAAATCTCCATACTTGGAACAGCTGAAAGGTCTGGCTGATTTGCAGGACAACAAGGCACCTACCCTTCTTTGTTTTCCACATAAGGAGTTTGCCCTCGTAGCGTATCCAGTGTGAAAGAGGCATATCTTGACTTTTACAAAGTAAGTTGTTGACTTTTCAAGATCCAGCGGGGTTCATAGCTTCCACATAGTAGGTAGGTAAGGCAGCCGCTGCACGATGGAGGGGAAGTCAGACTCGACCAAGATTACCAAAGGGTTCCCCCGGTGATGGGGCTCTGTGCCAGTGTGTCTATCTCTTACACAATACCTGAATCTGTCTAAGGTTGAATCAGACATCAGCAGGTTGATTACCCTGATACTGTACACGGGTTGTTTCAAGAAGGGTTACTGTACAGCAGTGACTCTATAGCTAAAGGTGTAGTTAGTCAAGTTACATTACACGGAGTGAGTGGATCAAGAAATATACTCAGGATAGAAACATGAGCTGCCAGGGTGCGGTTAACGTTCCCCCCGCAAGTCATTTAAAGTCACAAACTGTCCACAAATTATTCCACACACATTTATGTGCTCAGGTGAGTGAGAATGCCCTCATTTCGAAACTCTTAACAATCACTCACCAGGATGTCGGACACTGACAGTAAAGGCAGCGGACAGGGTTTAGGAACATCTGAAACAATGATACTAACAGCATCCATGTATTGTGGAATCGATCCAGCTGTTGTTTATAGGCTCTGGCCTCATTTATCATAAACAACAGAAGGGGCGCGAACAGGCGATAGACGGTCGGGCACATCCGCGATTGTCAAGTCTAGGCCACCACCGCCTCGGGGCCATGACTCGCTGGTTCACGAACTGTTGAACAAGTTGACATTTTTTTTCCCACTTCATTTACGGTGGTTCCGCTGCTTGGACGCGGGAATGACCGTGTTGCAAGTGTGATCATAATTTCCCTGCCCTTTACCCCACTCCACACAGCCCAGGTTCTTGTTTCATCTTGTCCGATGTGGAGCGGAATTAATTACCACCTGCAAGCCTCTACGCAGCCCGCGCGCATTACCCTCAGATTCCGCCCGCCGCAACTCACTTGTACGACATGATCGCTTCTTCTTCTCGCAATGGAAGAGGACTCGGAGAAGGCTTCAATGGAGGAAAGAGATCATTTCCGCTTGCTTCCCCTTCTCGCCTTTGGGGAGAATGCAATGGAGGAGAGAGAGAAGGAAAGAAAGAAAGAAAGAAAGAAAGAAAGAAAGAAAGAAAGAAAGAAAGAAAGAAAGAAAGAAAGAAAGAAAGAAAGATGTAAAGAAAGATGTAAAGAAAGATGTAAAGAAAGATGTAAAGAAAGATGTAAAGATGTAAAGATGTAAAGATGTGGCTCACAAGACTGGAGAGACCAGGCGAAACGCGCTTCAATCCAACATAGACACAAAGCACTTAAAAGTCAGTTTATTGACTCGAATCTTACTGGGAAGTCAGTCCATTCGTACTACTCAGTCGAGTACTCCGTACTCATACATTAATGCTGTTCCTTCCTTATCTGGGTGCGTAGGCTGTTACTGATCCAGCGAGGGTCTCGAACAACGACCCTGGCTGGGTCCAAACAGTCATGGTGATACTTTCCTAACTTCAAGGTTCCTATAGAGAGAGCCAGGTAGAGAGACGATTGGTGAGTGGCGATGTACTTATGTACTATAATCTACTTCATATATACAGTACTGTAACTTACATGTGTAGGTATACCGTAGAAGGTGGCAAAGGACAACCGACGTTCACAAATTCCCAGACTTGCACAAGCAGATCCCTTCTGGATATGCTCCATGTGGATTATGTCGATGACGTTGCAACGATTTCATCGGGGCCCAATTGACAGTCATGCCATTTGAAGGAAAGCAGAGAATTGTTGAGCCCGTATTCATTACTGACAGCCCCTCCACCCGGAAACGCGCGATGAACCACAGTTTGCTGCAGGTTCAAGAACCGGAGGAGTAAACTATAGAATTCTCCCCAAGTCCTCTCAAACTTGGAATGACTTTGACTTCCCTGGAGTGTTCGAGCCAATACGAGGCATTTTCGGTGGGTTTGACCCATCTGCACAAAGCCAGATCGAGTGTGTACATACTCGTAGTAGCAGAGAATGTTGACGCGCACTTGATAGCTTGATCATTGGGTCGAGGAAGAGATTTGAAAGACTTGCGGAGAAAAGAGACTACCGTCAAAGGAAGATCGAGGGGACAAGGTCGTAGATGTCATGGATTGAACTCAAA